TTTAAGGTGCCACCAGACTCCTTGTTGTTTTTGTAGATACAGACTAACACGGCTACCCCCTGATACTTGACAGTGTTTTTAAAGAAGGTTTTCAGGTGTCATTCCCTAGGTTTTTAAAATATCAAACTGAAAACACAAATTCTGGCATATGGGATTATCTGGCGATCCACATGGTTCATCAGATGGGTTAGAACCTTTAGAGAGCAATTATACAACTTCTGTTATTTGTGCTAGTGGAGTAATTGATAACCAAAGTACCGATCTGAGCCTTAACATCATTTATAACAATGGTTAAAGATTAGAGGTCTCAGAACAGAGCTTCGAGTAACTAATGGTTTTGCTTGCCTTCCCCACTTCCCAAGCCATCCAAGACAAGGGATATCTTCTTTAAAATATGGGTTTAACCGGGCCCTGGTTTTATTTGAAGAATCTAATCAAGGTATTCAGTTCACAGAGATGTGAAGTGTATTACCTAAAGTATATTGCCTGACTGACAATTATTAGGCATATTTGGACATTTTAATGCTACATAGTTTTGAGATGTCACGGTCTCAGCATTTGTGATGTCAAGTTAGCCAACATAATCCTGGCTCTTGCATTCATCTTGGTTCATTGATTGAAATCTGAGACTTGCTGTCAGGTGAGGGGCAAGTTAAAATAAGATAACCATGACGCTGTTTCTGCCAGTGAGCAAAGATTTAAAAAACAGAAGACAACCAGCAGACATTATTTGGAAACAAAATCCACTGCCATCTGTGATCACGTGTCTCGTCACCAGAGCACCACAATCCCTAACACTGCGCTGTAAAGGGAGATGAGAGGCCCAGTCTCACAGTGCAATTTTAGGAATATTATTCCAGTCCAATAACTCATAGGACAAGATACATTTTTGTTCCTATCCAATCACTTTATAGGCTATTAATAGCCCAAGCATCCTGACCATATATATTTGGAAGTTAAGATTAGAGAGATATTTCAAATGAAGAGTAAGTCATACAAAAACATTTTATTTAAATTTAACGTGCGCTAGCATGTACGTAGCTATTTCCTCTTTAACATTTAACAATTTGCATACGAAATGTCCAACTATATCATAAAATTGAATAAAATAGTCCATGCTTTCATCATCTGTTTCAGAAAAACCTGTCACACTTTACAAGGTAAATAAATCTTTTGCATTAAATATTTCCCATATATGTATTACGACACAGACAGACGAACGCATAGGTCCTCTAGTTGGAGGGTAAGGAGAGCTAGTAATTGATGACATCAAGAAGGCTTGGTTGTTTAATGACCATTTTGCTTCAGGCTTCACAGAAAATGTTAATGCTCACCAGATAATCAACACAATATTAACAACAAGGGGGAAGGAACACAGGCCAGAATAAAGAAAAGAACAGGTTAAAGAACATTTAGGTAAATTAGATCAATTCACATTGGCAGGGCCTGATAAAACTCCTCTTAAGGTACTTTAGGAACTGGCTGAAGCAATCTCAGAACCATTAGCAATGATCTTCAAGAACTCATGGAGGACAAGAGAATAGCACCCATTGTTAAAAAGGGGAACAGAGAACCTGGGAAATTTTAGACCAGTCAACGTAATTTTGATACTTGGAAACATACTAGAAATCACCCTAATTTACTTCTTTGGCTTAGTTACTGACTTAGTGGATAAGCAGGAAGTAGTAGATGTGATATAACTTGATTTACACTTTTGACAGTTCGATGTGACATTCTCATAAGCCAACTAGGGAAATGCGATCTAGAAGAAATTACTATAAAGGGTGTACAACTGATTGAAAGACTGTACTCAGAGTAGTTATCAATGGCTTGCGGTCAAACTGGGAGTGCGGGTCATACACAAGTCAGTCCTGAGTCCGGGACTACTCAATGTTTAATTAATGACTTGGTAATGGAGTGAAGAGTATGCTTATAAAATCTGCAGAGGACAACAAACTGGGAGGGAGGTTGCAAGCACTTTGGAGGACAGGATAAGAACTCAAAATGACACTGACAAATTAGAGAACTGGGCTGAAATCAACAAAAATTCAATAAAAACAAGTGCAAAGTACAGTAAAAGCTGTTTTATCCAGCATATTGGGGGATCTGGGGGTGCTGATAAGTGAAAAATGCCAGTTAACAAAGAGGGAGGGTATTTGGGTGCAGGAAGGAGTGTGGGGTTGGGGCGCGGGAGGGAGTCTGAGTGCGGAAGGGGGCTCAAGAGCAGGGGGTTGGGGCGTGGGAGAGGGGGGTCGGGGTGCTTGATCTGGGAGGCACTCACCTCGGGCGGCTCCCCACAAGTGGCGACCTGTCCTGGCTGCTCCTAGGCAGAGGCGCAGCAGGAGGCTCTGCATGTTGCCCCCGCCCAGCCCCGAGAACTGGCTCCACAACTCCCATTAGCGAGAAACCGTGGTCAATGGGAGCTGAGGAGGCGGCGCCTGCGGGCGGAGGCAGCATGCAGAGCCGCCTAGCCGCGCCTCTGCCTAGGATCAGCAAGGACAGGTCGCCGCTTGCGGGGAGCAACGCAGAGCCAGGTAGGGAACCTGCCGGCCCCACGCCAACCGGATTATAAACCGGACTTTCTATGAAGATTAAAAATGCCGGTTTATAGAGCTTTCCAGTTGGTACAGGGCCGGATAACACCCCTTTTACTGTACTCCTCTTAGGAAGGAAAAACCAAAACCACAACTATAAAATAAGGAGTAACTGGCTAGGAGATAGTATTGCTGAAAAGGATCTGGGGGATATATTTGAACACATTTCAAATCAACAATGCGATGCCGTTGAAAGAAAAAGGCTAACATTCTGGGGTGTATTAATAGGTGTCTCATATGTAAGTCATGGGTGGTAATTGTTCCAGTCTAGTAAGCACTTGTGAGGACTCAGCTGGAATACTGACTGTGTCCAATTCTGGGCACCACACGTTGTGGACAAATCAGACAAATGTGGACTAATTGGAGAGTCCAGAGGAGAACAACAAAAGTGATAAAAGGTTTAGAAATCCTGACCTATCAGAAAAGGTTAGAAAAACTGGGTATGCTTAGTCTTGAGAAAAGAAGTCTGTGATAACAGTCTTCCATTATGTTAAGGGCTGTTATAAAGTGGACTTTGATCACTTGTTCTCTGTGTCCACCTAAGGTAGGACAAGAAGTAATGGGCTTAATCTGCAGCAACAAAGATTTAGGTTAGCTATTAGGAAAAACTTTCTAAATATAAGGGTAGTTAAGCTAAGCCTTCATGATTGGCGTTTTTTAAGAACCGGTTAGATAAATACCTGTCAGGGATGGTGTAGGTTTACCTGGTCCTACCTCAGCCCAAGGGGCCAAATTTGATGAACTTGAGATCCCTTCCACCCCTACATTTCTAGGATTATCTTTTTAAAAAATTAGATTTATATACTGTGTACAAGGTCAGCAACACTGAAGAGAATATAAATATAGGATTAGGAATGACAAGGAGCAAGATCTCAGTTTAAAGTTCTGGCTAATCTTATTCTTTGTTCTTTTCCCTCCAGCATTCAGTATTTTATTAATTTCTCTCTCCAATCACATCAACACTGACAAATAAAACATTTTTCTGAATATGCATATTAATGCACAAGATGGCAGCGTGGTGTTTTGAGGGTTATTTTATTTATTACACACACACACACACAAATATTTTTATATATGGCGCACATTTTGTTTCTGGCTGTTTTCCTGCATTATGTAGGAGTCTTTACAAATACAGTTAAGCAATCCTATTTCATTTACAATGTTTTAAGACACTTAAATTGTCAGTAGAATTCTACAGTAACAGAACTATTGGTACCTTTAAAAACAAAGAAAGCCCCACCCTGTCATGATAACTCTACAGAGTCCAGCTCCCACTCAAATCAACATCAGCCTAGGATTTTGACTCTCTCTCTAAAAGAAGAAGGTATGCCTCTCCATTCCGTTTCCCCAAGCCAATCTCAGGCTGCCAACTGTGGGTGGAGAAGTACCTCACTGTCATTTGACAGCTATTGCTCTGTCTTGATTAAGCAACAACATTAATAGTATCTGACCAGAATTTTGGCTAATTGTCCCCAGCCAGAAAAAGTGAGCTGTAAAGCTGTATTAAAAATGGCATGCTCATCACAATTACATACATACATCCTTGAAGGAAAACAGTAAATATATAAATATAGATAGATATAATTACCTCTGCAACTTTTGGAGGCACTCCATCACCAAGCACTTCCCTAATGAAGCACTGCTGGCTCATGTAACAGGAGAGTCCACAAGTTCTCTTGAAAGCATCTCTCAGACGTTTTAGTTCTACATCTGTAACTGTATTAAGAAAAAGAAATTATAATCAAGAAAGATGAGCAGGAAGATTTAGCAGCCTTAACTTTGATATCAAGAAGTCCTTTTACAGAAAAATAAAAGCTTCTAAAACATATCCTCTTATCTTGCAATAAAAATACCTAGATAAATTAAATGCACGATTTCTTTAATTTATTTGCTCTCATTAGACATCTGGAAAAATATTCCAGAAAAGGAGTGAAAAGTCATCTAGAACAAAAAATTTATCATCAATTGAATGTTCTCTGAATACAATAGTATATTGTAATTGAATATTCTCTGAAAACAATAGTATATTGTAATACTTGTTACAAAGATAAACACTGTGATAATTATACATTATCATGCTACAGAAAAATAAGCTGGCATTATATGCAAATCTGGACTGAGTATAAGCCAAACACATGATCTGTAACTGATTGTTGCCAACATGTAGTAAGAGTTGAACTAGCCAAGTTGTTTCATGTAAGCAGTTTTCATTTACCAAATAGGTCTGCTTATGTGCTATATAAAAAAAGTTTCTGCAAATTATCACCTACAGGTTCATATCATAACAAAAAAAGCATTAATAGAAAACAGTTCTAACTAGATTATGGTTAAAGTTTTGACAGGAGTTGAAAAATCGTTTAAGTGTTTCCTCCACAGTAACAGCTACAAGCTGATTTCTCTCCTGAAGTGTATTGATACCTACCTACGACATATGACAAAAGGATTGATGGATCCCCCTTTTACATGCACAAAGGCTTCCTCTTGCCTGAAGAACTGGTCTTTGATTTTAACATTTTACACCTCCAGCATCTTTCTAATGAAGTTCTTCAAGGTCCTAATTCAGCAAGGCACTTAAGCTTGTGCTCGAGTGCCTCGTTTGAATGGAAGTCCAAGTGCTCTGACAAAATGAAGTCTCATCACCCTGTGAGATTCCAGGCTATATCCATTTTATAAAGATGTTGTTAGGCACAGAAAATGTGCCTTGATTAAATCCCAAAGTGGGTCAATATGCAGTGTAGCTATAGCCCTGTCGGTCCAAGGATATGGGAGAGACAAGGCAGGTGAAATAATACCAACAGAGGTTGGTCCAGTAAAAGGTATCTCACTCACCTAGTCTCTCTAAAATGGGTTAATGACAGAACTGGGAACAGAGCCATGGAGTTTTGATTCCTGTTGCCTATTGCAACACCACTCTCTCCCTTAAGACAATCTGAGCAGCATAACCCCCATCTCAATCCTCCATTTAAGTGGTGTGTTAACAGACTTTTCCTGCTGACTTAAAGTAAAAAAAAAAAGGGAATTTAGAAAATGAAGTGCTCTGTTTCTGTCAATGAACAAGTAAAACTGTCCCATACCTAAACCTGATAATTAAAGTATCTAAGATCATTCCCTTGCCAATGCAGGAATCGTTTCTAGCAGATTTTCGAAAGCACATTATAAGCTATTATCAAAACCCCCTGAATCTCTCCTCACCCAAGTATGTGTTCTCCATTTATATCCTAAGAGGAAAGGAATGAAACATTAACTGGAATTCCCATCCCAAGGCTATGTCAGACTGAGACAGGTTTGTGACCCTATTCTGCCATTAGAAGATTATGACCCAGATCACGCATCAGTGACATTGTACTGCAGCATAAAGCCATTTTTCACACTGAAGCCAGAACACAAAGCATGCAGCACTGGATGCAAAACTAACATTACCACTAGGGCATCTTTCATCATCTTCATTAGATTACTCAAACAATCTCCCCTCTTAAAGGTCTCCAAATCAGCAAGCTAAAAAAATAACAAACAGGCCTGAATGGTTATTGGGGTTTGGGACTTTTTTGTGTGTGTTAGAAGCATACAGCACACCACAGATTTCATTCCAGCCAGCATCCTTGAAGATTACAACTTGTCCCTTAACTCATTGAAGATTCATTGTCACTGTTTTGTCAAAAATCTTTCAAACCAATTTTGAAATTGGTTCACATTTAAATTAAGGATCTACCTTTCATTAATAACTATGTTCACAAGAAATCCCCACTTTGCTTTTATTTTCATATATATTATTGGTTAAAGACAATGTTATTGAAATTTTCATATGTTTTTTTAAACTAAAAACAGGGTTTTAAAGGTTAGGAGAAATGAGATGATAAAGAAAGAAAAGAAGCTATTTTGACAGCATTAATGCTGCCATACAGAGATAGTTTTGGCGTAAGGATTTTGCTTGAGCTATTGCCACTGCATATCATACTGATAAAACAGGAACTGACATATAATTAGGTGGTCTACTGGCAACGGCACTGTTATCTGGAGCATAAAGTAACATTTAAATTTCATACTCCCGTATTAGTTGCTGTCTATATAGTCATTCCCAATTTTTATTTCTTGAGAGAAAGGAGGATTCTATATAAAGCTTTGCTAAAACACCATGGTCTCATTAGAAAATCATCTCGGTGAAAATTCTCTCCTCAGCATTTATCTGGGCACAGGAAACAGAGCCCAAGGAATAACTTCCACAGCTGAAGGTTGCCCCCAACCTCTCCTGAAGAGTGGGGGACAGGATACAAGGCTAGAGATTCTGCACACCTGATCCTGTATCTCACCATAGCCTTCAAACACGTAAGGAATTCATGTAGCAAGGCTCCATACGACGCTTGTCTGACTAAGTATTTTTGTAGGAGTAAATCAAGATACCTAAATCTTGGACAAAATCTAAGTGTGATGAGAACACTGGATGTCCTAAGAGATTTAAGTTCAGGACCTACATGGTAGCATTCTCTGAAATGCTTCCAGTTCCACATGCAGGGCCAGAAAGACAGGCAGAACTACCAGGTCTAAATGCATAGAAGAGACATTGGTGAGGGGAGGACAAATTTAGGCTTAATAAGAACTGGGGAAGGAGAGGCCCACAGAGGAAGCATAAGCTGCACCTTAACCAAAATGGAACCAGACTGTTGGCATGTAAAATTAAAAAGGCTGTAGAGGATTTATTAAACTAAGGACTGGGGGAAAGCTGACAAGCATGGAGGACCACATCCCTTAGGGATGAATTTATTAAAAGATGAATTCTATAGCCTAATGTACAGAATCGGAAAGTAGTTGTTAAAGTACAGGTAGAAGCTAGTGGTGAGGAACAGCCAAACATAAAAGTCCAATTTAAACATAACTCATGAAAGCAACTAAATACTGACAATATGTACAAGGGCTTATATATAAATGCTAGAAGTCTACATAAGTCAGATTGTAATGAGGAAAATAGGAAGGAGCACAAACTCTGGCAAGTAAAATGTAAATGTTTAATAAAACAAGACAAGAAAGAATTGGCGAAGCAACTGGCTAAAGATGCAAAAACTAACAGTAATTTTTTTTAATTTTTAAGGATATCAAAGGCAGGAAGCCTGCCAAACAAGCAGTGGGGCCGCTAGATGACGAAGGTATTAAAGGAGCACTCCAAGAAGACAAGGCCATTGCAGAGAAGGTAAATGAATTCTTGCGTCAGTCCTCACCACAGGGGAGGTGGGGGCCATGAGAGCTTTTCTTTTTGGGTGACAAATCTTACACACTGTCAAACTGATGTGTGAACAGAAGAGGTTTTACAACAAACTGATAAACTAAACAGAAATATGCCCCAGATGGTATTCACCCAAGGGTTCCAAAAGAACTCAAATCTGAAATTGCAGAACTACTAACTGCAAACTGGAAAGTAGCTAATGTAATGCCAGGAGATCCTGGCAATTACAGGCCGGTGAGCCTGACTTCGGCACTGGGCAAAATGTAGAAACTATAGTAAATACCACCATGATCAGAGACATGGATAAACACTATTTGTTGGGGATGAACATGGATTCTGTAAAGGGAAATTATGCCTCACCAACCTATAAGAATTCTCTGAAGGAATCAACAAGCATCGCAAAACTGGGGTGATCTGGCAAAATGGCAGATGAAATTCAATGCTGATAAATGAAAAGTAATGCACATTGGAAAACAATCCCAACTCTACATATAAAATGATGAGGTCTAAATTAGCTGTTACCACTCAAGAAAGAGACTATGGAATCACTGTGGATAGTTCTCTGAAAACATCCACTGAATGAGCAGCAGCATTCAAAAAAGCGAACAGAATATTGGGAATCATTAGGAAAGGGATAGATAATAAGACAGAAAATATACTGCCTCGATATAAATCCATGGTACACCCACACCTTGCATACTGTGTGGAGATCTTGTTGCCCTTCTCAAAAAAGATATATTGGAATTGGAAAAAGTACAGAACAGGGAAATAAAAATGATTAGGGGTATGGAACAGCTTCCATATGAAGAGAAATTAATAAGACTGGGACTTTTCAGCTTGGAAAAGAGATGACTAAGGGGGGATATGATAGAGGTCTATAAAAACATGACTGGTGTGGAGAAAGTAAATAAGGAAGTGTTATTTACTCCTCCTCATGACACAAGAACTAGGGGTCACCAAAATAAATTAATAAACAGAAGGTTTAAAACAAACAAAGGGAAGTATTTCTTCACACAATGCACAGTCAACCTGTGGAACTCTGTGCCGGAGGATGTTGTGAAGGCCAAGACTAACAGGGTTCAAAAAAGAGCTAGGTAAGTTCATGGAGGATAGGTTCATCAATGGCTATTAGCCAGGATGGGCAGGGATGGTGTCCCTAGCCTCTGTTTGCCAGAAGCTGGGAATGGGTGACAGGGGATGGATCACTTGATGATTACCTGTTCTGTTCATTCCCTCTGGGGCACCTGGCATTGGCCACTGTCAAAAGACAGGACACTGGGCTAGATGGACCATTGTTCTGACCCAGTATGGCTGTTCATATATGGACAAGGGTCATCCAGTTAATATAGCATACTTGGATTTTCAGAAGGATTTAACAAGTGCCCCACCAAAGACTCTTAAGCAAACTAAGTAGTCATGGGATAGAGGGAAGGTGCTTGCATAGATCAGTTACTAGCTGAAAGAGGGGGATAACGGCAAGTTTTCACAATATTCATTAATG